AAGCTGTCTGTACAATCTAATTTACGCCTAACTCATGTCGAGAGCTTCATTCAGGTGCTCATTGCTTTGTTTGCTCTTTTGAAGTTTTGTTTCGGAAGTGACCGCTGTTTCTGATTCAGTGACATCACCACGCGTTAACTTTGAGGGGTGCTGCTCACTCGTGCTGGGTTATCTTGTCTTTGTGAAATTTCGTTACCTTTCCTATTATCACAAGAGTAAGCCTGAATTGTTACGAAATGCGCCATTCTTAGTGGGTGTCACCACCTGATTCTATCCGTGGCATCTGTGGTGTTTGTATCGTTATCAATGAAGTCTTTCTTGATGGCATTCTTCAGTTTTTCTTGTGATTACTTCCGTCTAATTTTGAAACCAAAGTGTTTCCTCATGGGGTTGTGGGAGCACACTCGAAAATTAATAAGTCCATCTCAATCTTGCACTACAGCGGCCTTTGGCCTTGATACGAGCTGCTTCGAAGGCAGATTCCTCGGTCAGCTTACTGAAAGAACTTCCGTAAGCACGGTTGTGCTCCACGAGCCTGGCTGTGTACTATGGGGGTTCGAAAATCAATGAAATGAAAATGAAAGGGACCGTAAGGGTCTGTATTGCTCTCGGAGCTCCACATATCTCGGCAATTTGATTCCACTTGTAGTTGTATCATGGTGCTGTAGGTTTCTCGCCTCCTTCATGTTCTGCGTGGGGCTGATCCCTCGTTTGGGGCCTTGTGTTTCTCCGCTACAAGCTAACTGTACTGCAAATATAGAAAGCGCAGCTTTATTTGGAGCGTTTTTGATTGCTTGTTTTGTATATTTCTTCGTTGGCAAGTCAATAAGCACCCAGATTTCCTGTTTTAAACACCATTATTCACACTTTAGGACCGTAAAATGCGCCTTTAGGATTCATCGTGGCGTTCGCTTCACGATTGCGTTTCCTTGTTTTGAACGTCGCTTGACCTACACCTCAATTTGAAACCAACAAGACTTCCTGGATAACTCTGCTTGTCCCGCACAATTTCTTCAAAGTAGTTACTTCTGTGGATTTGACAATAAAGTTCAGATAAAGATCTGTTCCAATTTGGCGCTGGTGCACTTAGAGGGGGGTGTCGTTATGCGAAGAGTCCAACATTCACTCTAGTCCACCTAACTAAGCGTTATTAGGGATCCCCACTTTCTTCACGATTTGGGGCGCGGCCGCGGCAAACCCGCGGCGTTCGCGGCCGAGTAGTGCGGCATCAGCTTGCCTGAGTATTCGACGTTACATTACGTGTCGTTACGATCTAACACGTAATGTAACGTCGAATACTCAGGCAAGCTGATGCCGCACTACTCGGCCGCGAACGCCGCGGGTTTGCCGCGGCCGCGCCCCAAATCGTGAAGAAAGTGGGGGAGCCGCATTATGGCTGGTGTCAGCAGTCGCGATCTGTTTTCGCGCGATGGATCCAGATATTCACAAATTGCACGACAATACTACGAGTGCTCTCCAATCCCTTATTCTTGCGTGATCGGTATCTTGAATGGCGACTGTTGCATGTGTCTACTTCGTTCTATTCAGTGTTCAATGGGGCACTTCATCTTTCCGATAATGACTAGAGGTGGTGTGAAGTAGGTAAAAAATTGTTAATTTTCCCAAAACCATCTATTCTTCTAGCATCGAGCTGCCCATAGCAGATGCCGCTCCCGTTAAGATACACTGATCAACTGGGAAATTGTTAAAGCCCTTTCCTTTCGTATCATGCCAGTGCCCATTGCCAAGGTTAGGACTATGCAGTAAATATCCAAGAACAATATCAGGCACCTTTTCCTCTGCCTTCCTTTTCGAGCTGAGGGGATCGGAAATTATGGTGTATTCAGCTTTCTGTTGTCCGCATTCTCAGGATTTGCTGGGGGGCGATGCACGTCAACGCAAACAATTCATCAAATTTCACTGGCAAAGACCTCCTTCATTCTTTTATTTTTATTCTGTAGTCTTATGTGTTTCCTAGTTTTACTGATCTAATCTTGATTAATGTGGCGCCCTAAAAGTGCCAATAAATATAAATAACCTAAATTATCATTTCCTGCAATTGCAGATTGAATACTAGTAAAATAAGCTGTCAGAATACGTGTTGAAACTATTCTTTTAGTTCAACTTAACTTTGAACCAATTGCATCACCAATTATTTGTTCAGCGGGGTAAAGAGCAGTTACATTTGAATCGATGCACGAATGTTCAGCGCTCTAAATGGTCTTATTGAATAGTGTTCGAATTTAGATTTTCGTGTGAAGTTTTATTAGTCTAATTATAGTTGGGAAGACATCTTTTTCATGTTGCCTTAAAAGGCGATCACCTTTAAAAGAAACTAGTTCAGCGTTGAAACTGGTTCAAGATACAAATCATGAACAAAGGTGATGGCATTGAACCGGTCTCATCAGTAATCTTCAGTCTCATAATGGTGGTAGCAGTGTTCAACATGACGCATTTTAGCTCTTTTTGATTCTATTCTAGTAAAATTAGAGAGTGAGAGTACCAACTAATGAGCGCATTTTATTTTTGTGACTATTTATTCGTGTTTTTTTTTCATCTTGGATGCTCTTTCACCACTCTTTGACTGGGATTTTCAGCGTTTTTCCAATCAGGAGGGGGGAGGCAGGTGGTGTAATACATATTTCGTTTCAGTATAGTTACATATTTAATGGCCCTAACAGAAGAATCGGCTTAGACTCACTCGGTATAGCTTAACATCATTTTTGCATGTGGGAGCTTCGTTTGGTGCTTTGAAACAATTCGTGTTTCGATTTACGGGCCACCATTGAACTTCTTCCTCTGCAAAATGGCTCCCAGACAATACCTAACCATTTGGGCGCGGCCGCGGCGAACGCGGCCGAGTTGATAGGTGCCCGCGAACTCAGCACAGCACAGTTCGCGGGCACCTCGAGTGCGTTTTCAACGGTTCGCGGGCACAATCGACTCGGCCGCGTTCGCCGCGGCCGCGCCCAAATGGTTAGGTATTGTCTGGGAGCCCTTGCCAAAATTTGAGCCACTTTAAGCCAAAGGGGCTGTTTTACCAAATGACCCCCCCCCTGTTAGATAAGCGCAGGTTTTTGCTGGTTTTGTACTTTTTGTGTAAGTGTAAAAGATGTGCTAGTAAATGTAAAATGAGGTCTTTTGAAATATTATTCCCTTGCACAGCGCCTAGTTTGACAATTTTTGGCAGGTTTCCAGGGCTGATCAAAATGTTCTCGCGCGACCAACTGTTTTCGACATTGTTTTCGTCAATGTCACTGCTGTCAGGGCAACGAGAAAAGAAGCAGCGTGTGTCGCAATAGCGTTCATGCTGGCGTTTTTTTGCTTGAAAACATTAAATAAAAAGGTTAGCGTTTTGCTCAATCCCGTCTTGGGGATGCGGCACGCATTATTACTTATTTTACAATTTGTATTTGGTTGAATGTGTGGCCTATACAATGACTTGCGGGGGCCAGCCGATGTTACAAGTCAGTGTTTTTATCCTCCCAGACAAGTCTGGTACCAATTAACCGACCCGGAGGGATGGAAGGCTTGGTTGGCCCGGGCGACTCACGACCCAGGATTTGATCCCGGACCGCTCGCGTGGTGAGCGTGCCACTTGCCACTACACCACTTCCGCCCTCTGAACAACATTACCAGTGTGAATCTTGTAGCCATCTATCCAGTGTGATCAATTGATTCGTACCTTAAACCTTGATAACGAGTGCGAGTGATGGCAGGTGCTTAGTCATGTGTCGCACTTTTTTCAAAAACAGTGGCGACATTTCTTGTGTTTCGTGATCATTTCCTGTTTCACGTCATTTGCTCTTTCGTAATCAATCATACCATACGATTACATTGATCGTTATCGCTCCCCATTTATCGTCAATCATGTAATTATTGCGATTTGCTTTAGTTTCACTTACACTTACTGGAACTTCTAGCGCGGTCGACTGCTTAGCTGATCGCTGCTGACTAACTCTCAGCGGACTGTTTTCCTACTAACTTTATTCAATAAATGTCCGTTTTCGGAGGGTGAGTGGTAACTTCTACCTGACTATACTATCGTAGTTTAGAATAAACAATTCTTTGCAAGTAAGAGCTTTAACGACTATTAGAGCTCAATGTGGAGTATTGACTCATTGGACTCTTAAGGACGAGTTGTTATTGTTTAATTATTATTGGCTCCTTCGTCATTCTAAACAAAACATTCAAAGTGGTTATCGGACTGTTTTGCGTTAATGCGAATCTTTTTATGCCTTGGTTAAAGGTTGCTGTTATCATTCCTATTAGTTTGTGTTTTGTCCTGGTACCATGCTATCATGTCTATTACTAATGTTGAGAAAGAGTTTGAAAACTTCATGAGATTCTTCTAACTTCTCTCTCCCAGCATAAAATCCTGTACTTTTGGTGCTCCGTGATGTTCATGTTGCTATTCATGAACAGATATCCTCACGCAATGCGCATTTGTATCATAACATGCTTTCATTGTCAATCTGCAGTCTGCAGTTTTACTGGTTTATCAATACTGGAAACGAGGACGGTCTACGCAATGTGTCCCGGGAAGGGGCGTGGTCGCGCTCCGAAGCGCGAAAAAGTTGCATTTTGTCCTAGTGAACCACGCTCCTCGGGGAGAGGTAGGGGTAGGACGGCAGCCTGTCTAGTTTTTTATGATCTTCAGAGCATGAGGAGTGGGTTTCTGCTTTTCTTGGGGCAGGGCTTCGTGTTGGTGGGAGTCTTGTTGAATTTTCCTTATCTCTGGACTGATAAGAGCATCTACTTTAATCTTATCCAAGGCCGCCCCTTCTGAACTGAATAAATGGTGATGTGAGAATCCATTTTATCCATGGGTATTCACTTGTTCGGTGGCTTTGGCTTGAGTTTTGAACGGTTTCCATGCTACTGTGAGAGTCTTCGTAGGAAGTGTAAAAGAAAAATTTCAGGCAGATTGAAAAAGTTAAGGGATTGTCCTGTGATCATTAATTTGATGTTCATCAACTATGGTTTTTCAGCCTTTTACTATGCCTCTGCCAACTGACCGTCTTCCTTCTCATTTTCATCTTTGTGGGTGTTCCACTTCTAATCGCCATCTTCCCGAATATCATGGTGAAAATGTTCTTCCTCAACTTCAGTGAGTCGAATTTCTTTATCATTCAAATATTACAATTCCTCTCAGTGCTGGTTCTCAGACTATTTCTAGTTTTTATCCAGAGTATCAATGATTTTGATACAATTTCGTTTTTCCTACAAAGTCTCAGCTGGTGACCTTGGACATAACAAATTAGTTATCAACGACGATGTTCAAAAACTGGTTTCGTCTGACCGTGCAATTTTGTAATATATTGAGCTGCTAAACAGAATGGGCGAGTTTGCCACGGACTTAACCGAATTTGTTTTCGATCCGAAATAATCCTCATTTGCTGGGATGTTCTGGCGGAAAACCTTTTTAGACCACTGAATTACCGTGAGAGAAGGGTCCGCAGACTGTGGATTGATCGTGAGTAGTAGATGTTTGATCGGTCAGTGAATAATTTCACCCAACGTAAACTTTTGTCGTATAACCTTGAAGGCGAAATTTCACGATTAGGCGAAATTTTGCGAGTAAACTGAAAAAAGCAAGAGCGGTAGGTGATGCGATATGAGGCCTCGTTGAGGCAGAAGATGCTCTGGACGTCATATCTAGCGTCACACACTGGTCGTCCTGCCCACCATTTGAGTACTGCTTCTGTCATATCGCTCGTCGCTATGATCTCTAGGCTCGTCTTTCGTTTCCCCTCCTCGGCGCCCGTACCTCTTATCTCTACGTCTGCTTTCAGGCTCTTCCAATAGCAAGGAAGTCTGTTTTTTCACTGTTCTCGTTTTTTCCTTCACTGGTAATCCAATTTGCACGATCATTTTCGTATTCGAGCGCTTGGTCGTGGGGTTGCCTTCGAGGTCCTCTGGCACTATACATAATGAAACCTGGTTATCACACTGCGCACCGAGCCGTTTTTGCTCGAGCTAGCGCGCGGGTCAAACGTTCTATACGCCGCTTCCGCCTCATGATTACCTTATTTGGAGGCAATATCAACTCGGCCGCGCTCGCCGCGGCTGCGCACCAAATCGTGAAGAAAGTGGGGGAGCCACGGATCGCGGACTCTGACACCAGCTGACTAATTGACACGAGTCTCAATTAGAAGTAGCTAGCTCTAATTTAGCCTTGAAAGCCTCCAACACTCTCCTTCAATGTTTTTTCTTGTTTCAACTTCTCAGAACAACATCACGTTGTAGGGAAAATACCAATGACGGATTACATGAATGTATCGGCGAACAATGTGCGATCAATAGGGAGAGCCTTTTATCTCAATGGTCAGGAGGGCAATATAGGCGTGTGGTTAGTGTACAGACTATTTTTGAATTTCTTTTTTTCACTTATTTTATTGTTCCGCATGATTTCTAGGCACATCCTTCCGAAGTCCTTGTCGGCTGACTATCGTGAGAAGGGAATTCATCCAGATGATGAAGAGATCGAAAGATCTCTATCGCGTATAGAGTACCCGATCGTGTTGTATCTACATGGTAATTCATTTGACAGGTATGTTTGCTTCCCCATATATCACTTCCATGTTGAAATCGCCATTTGCAGAACGATTGCACACCGTGTTGAGTTGTACAATTTATTGAATAAGCTCGACTGTCATGTGGTTACGTTCGATTATCGAGGTACTGCTCCTTAAGGACTACTCTTCTCGGGAATGTACAGTTAGCATCTTTCTTATTTTAGCAGCTTGAAGCGCATGCTAATTATCCCATTTCATTCATGTATTCTTAATGTTTCTTACCGTTCAATGTTGCGGTTTACTCGGAGTGAGATCTCCATAATCAACCCAAAGTTTTCCCACAAGAAGGAAGCCAGATTGAAGATCAAGTGGTCATTTAAATGAGACGTAAACGCCAGCTTGGTTTTGGTCGATGAAAGCTTGCCTAGAGAGTAGTTCCGCAAAAGTGCCTTCCAGATTTTTCGATGACTTGAGGTCACTCCGGGAATAAACAGGTGCTACCAGCGCTTTGTGGTGATAGCTTAGCTGCGGAACGACCTGAAAGTGGGAAAGGAAAGCAAGAGAAATTCTTGGGAACGCTGCAATTAAGGCCTTAACCTTCAGTAGGGTAGAATGTGGTACGATGGCGAGAAAGGGCGGTCAAAGAAGACAAATACGCGAAAAGAGGCACGTTCGAGAGAGCACGGTGATCTCTCCTCAATGCAACTGGAACGCATCGTTTTGTACTCCTTCTGACTAGTAAAGGACGCCATTCGTTACGGGTCCCACTGCCTCCTGCTACAGTGAACCCTTCAATGTGGAGCGGGGAATCCGTGAGCCAGGGGCAGTGTCGCCAGTCTAGGGGGGTGGGGGGTGAGGGCAGACACTTGACATGCGTGAGAAGCTGGAATGTTCGAATTCAACCGCGATCACATGGGATCCCCGCGGGTTAAGGCAGTGGGTCCCGCAACGAATGGCGCCCTATACTAGTCAGTAGGAGTACAAAATGATCACTCCGACCCTCTTTCTACACCACATCTCGGCCATGTAAGGATCTAGCGCCCTAACCGCGCAGTTTTTGCGACGAAGCTGGAGTGATCCAGGTTACGTACGGACCTTACAATTTCCCCCGTGGAATCCCTCCTACTGGTCGGGCTAATCCCGGGTTTGCCTTTACGTAATAACTTCGTATTTGATGTCAGATCTAGCGTTGGTTCCTAAAATGCGCACAGGGTAGGTATGACTATCTAAACAGCATATCCAGCACTTCGTTTGTGCACGGCAAGACATCTGCGTTCAACTTGCACAGCTCCAATAGCACTATTTCATGCCGACAGTGCCGTCAGCATGCTACTTTTACAGATTGCGATACTAGTTTTTGGGCAAAAATTTCGTGCCATGTTTCAAAAGGAAGCAGCTACATCATATCTCCGGGAGCAAGCTCTATATAATCTGGTAGCCATCGAGATTCTCAGAGAATAAATTGATCTTTGTCCGTGGCCTAATGTAGCGCCGGTGTATGTAGCGCCGGACAGCCTGTACCACGCCCCGGGAATGTGAATTCCAGCTCCATTGCTCCCACTCCCACTGGGACACATTCGTAACCAAATATAGATTCTCATCCAAACATTAAAATGACTACCCGTGGCGTATCAACGGTACAATCAGCTCTAAGAACTGAAGAAATAGTCTTGAATTTATCCGATTCGAGGAAAAACCACAACATAGCATGAGATTCTTCCGTACGTTTGGGATACATTTGTGGTCAGCGTCCAAAAACACATTCTTGCTGGCGTAATATCCATTAGGAAATGAGTCTTTCTCGTGAGAGCTTTTTTTATTTTGTTTTCTGAGATAAGGTCCTAGTTCCTACAAATCAGAAGTTTGTTGGTAAATATGGTTCTCACTAGCTAGAGTGGATACTAGCTAGAGTGGTCTTTAGAGCGTAAAAAGGAAGCATTGGTAAACTAATTGCATTCTTCCAATAGGAAACCTATATTTTTAATGCCAGACTTTCTTGCTTCGCGTCAATTTGTTTTGAGAAATTTCTATCTCTTTCTTGATGATAGTATTGATTTGATGTATAGGGTATGGAGACTCTGATGGTGACCCTAGTGAACCCGGTTTGGTCAACGATAGCCGTGTTGTTTATGACTATGTGAAAAGTCACTGCAAGGACAACGCTATCATTGTGTGGGGTCACTCGATGGGATCTGGGTGAGTGTGATTATTCTGTATCGTATTTAGCTTTTTGGGCATTGAAAAGAAGCTGTTTGCTTATGCATGCTTGAGTCATCCATTCTTTAGCCATCTTTGGTTGTACTTGGTGAAAGTTTGTAGTCTGATAGATAACAGCGCCCAGTTAGCGCAACATCTACAGCGTGCCCGTTCTGATGCTATTTTCTAGAATGACTACTATTTATGGGCAACTACTTTTGGGCTGCTCATGAATAACGCTCACATTTTATTCGGAAAGAGGGTTTTCTGATAGTATAGTTCCTTTGGTGGATTCGTACGCTGTGAATCTATGAATTTGACTCGGGGCTATCTTAACACATCAAAAGTAAACATGATCCCATTATTTGTCCTTTGTATTATACCTAATCTAAATATGTTGCTTCGAAGATGTATTTTCGCTTCAATATGTTCCTTCGCTAGTATCCCGTTTGTTTCGGGTGTCACCAAGGTTATCATGGACCTTTCCGTGGAGGGAGTTCCTCCTCATGGCCTCGTTCTTGAGTCTCCTTTCAACAACCTTAGAGACGTCATCATGAATCATTTATTAAGCATAGTGATTATCAGTCCTTCTCTCTGACTTGTTTTGTTTTTCGAGGATAAGCTCAATTTACGTTCTGTAATTACTTTCATTCCATTGTAGCCTGTGCGGTGGATGCCTGAAAGCATGGTTCAAAGAATTCTCATACAGCCGTTACGTGATGTAGAGTTGAAAATGGAGACAGATAAGCGTATAAAGGCGTAAGTTTTTGATTGGTCAAAATGTTCGTTGTTTTGTAGATATGTTTCAGAATTTATGTTGGTAATAAACGTTTAGCACAGCATTACTTGTCCGATTCTGATCTTACATGCTGAAAACGACCACGTTATTCCAGTCTTTCTTGCACGGAAACTTAGGGTGAGTGTTGAGTGAAGCAGTGTGACTCTAGCATCCGTATTACTATTTCAATAGCTTTGATATTTATGTTTATATCTTCTTTATATTACTCAAGTTTTCTTATGGAGTTACCATGGTTCCTATCGCAGAGAAGACCGTCGTACTCCCTCCATTGCTCGAGTAGATGGTCAGGAACACAGACAATCTGTCAGAAACCCATCAATTAGCTTACAAAAGCCTGAAATATAGCTTTTTTACATGGTAACTCCATGATAATCTAATTTTGTGTCGGCATTATGCTGATTTAGTTACCTTCCCAACTTTAAGGTAATTGAATCAGCAGAAGCTGCCTCAGGCCGTGCGCAAGAACCCGAACCACGTCCGATCTGGCAGCTGAGGCCACGCCGAGCGTGGCCAGTTGTCCGATCTGGCAAGCTTGGACCACGTCGAGCGTGGTTAGAATCCTTCATTACCTTAGACTGTCGATGGTATTGTGAGAAGCGGCGCTACTTGTCACGCTCAAAACCAGAGGTCAGATCCCAGTATAAGAAGGCGAGGTGGTGGAGCTCTTTGACTCGCCCCATTGTACACAAGTGTATCATGACTGTGGACGGGCCTTTTTTGACATATACACCACTATGACCAGTTTCTATCAAAATTTCATGTCTATCTAACTGCCCAACCGGTCGCTACTCTAAACAATTGTTCAGCGTGCATTTTTATTCAGTGGTTGCGAAATTTGTAATAATTTTATGGGCTGCCATGAGCAAAGATAGTGCTCCACTGCATATAGGCATTCATCTCATTACAGACGCCTGTTGGTAGTAACGACACCCGACAGCAGTTGGCTCGACTCTTCAAGTTCAGGTTCAGATTCACCGGCTGGTAATTTGGGTGACGGCTGTTGTAAGAAAGCATGGCATGAATGGGCATGAACTAGCCTCATTTCACTCTGCTCGTAACAAGCCACCAAGAGAAAACGATGCGCATCGCCTCAACAGTTTCATCAGGAAGCGAAGAGAAAGCCGAATCGCCCGAAAGGTGCTTCATATAGCGCAAGCAAACGTCTATCCCCACCGGAAATCCCTTTGAGACACAGGCGATAGGCGGTTGCAGCTGGCCGTTCGTGAAGAGGAACAGGCAAAGGAAATCTATTGTGTTTCAATCAAAGAGCAACTGAATGCAGCCATGCGTTCATGTAGAAAGGCTGGTCTCCAGGATCGGATGAGGGTGATAGATATCCCGCCCATAAGCCTCGCAAGGACCGATTACTCTAAACACGCCCTCTATGATTGTCTATGTGTAACCTCTTCCTGTGTCACATGTCCATTTCAATCACTATTGTGACTTAGGATCAAAGTAGTATGCGCGGCTCATTCCAAAAAAGAACAAAATTCCATCAAGCGCTCCTTCACTCCTCTCCTTCGCACTCTTACCACACCCACTGAGGTCGCCGAGGTACTGCTTGTGGAAAACGAAGGCACTTCAGCGTTGCACATACTCACCTGAAATTTTTTTTTGTGTTCTTTCTTTTTTAGATCAATTGAGATGTGAAGAATCAATTATGACAGTCGTCGCAGAATAGGAGATTGTTAGAAAAAATTTCCTCTACATTGACGATAGTTAGGATGAAGCAGTGGCAGCGTCTCGTGATGTCCAGTACGTCGAATTCGAGGAAAAACGGAATTATAAACACAAATTCATCTATATGGCTCCTGAACTATCAACATTAATTCCGTTGGTCTTTTTCAAACCTTTTATCAAGATTTTGGTTATGCTTTTGCAATTGATTTGTTAGACACCCAGTAGGCCGTCTTCTGGAATAGCATGGAATGAGTAGGTTGGTCCTCTCGGAAGTTTGGCCTAATGAGTATGATTCCAAAAATTAGTTGTCTTTGGCATTGAAAGATTCTATCGTTATCATGGTCGCCGCTTCAAAGTCACTTTGATTTTGCATGGAAACTAGGAACCTTTTGAATGAAGTTGATGTGGGAAACCATCTAGGTCGTCAACTTGGTCTTGTAATGTGAACGTTTGCCGCTACTTTTCTCGCAAAACAGCCAAATAATCATATAACAACTATGATCGTTGATGTGATTCTGAAGTTTTGGGATCCGAAGTCTGCAAAGCCTGCAAAAACTGCTCGGAAATTGGGTATCTTTGCAGCGTGCTATTGAAAGGGTCCGAAGTGAACTTAAAGGCAGCGGTCGCGATGGCTGATGGGCAGGGTGAATAACGGTCGAGGAATTCCTCGACCATCGCTCTCTGTGCGAGAGTAGAGCCGAGAGTGAATGTACGCGCGGAGAGCACAGACGGCTCGCGGGTGGCGAGAGTGAATGTCCGCGCGCGAGAACGTAAAGGATCAGGCGAAAATCCTCGACGTGCCGTTGAGGAATCCTCAAGCAATATTCACCCTGCTGATGGGTGGTGCAGTTTTGATGATCGTTAAACGTCATCGGTGGAAGGGCGTTCAGAGGCGTTCCTAATCACACCACCCCGCGCGCTGGTGGGGTCTAGTTCTTCAAGAACGTTCATCGAAATAATAGAAGAAATAATCAAAACTACGCCGCCTTCCAGCCATCGTAATCACTGCTTGGACACACGTATACTCCATATGTCGGAGTCAGATTAGGCGTGTCTATGGGTTTGACGTGGCGGCCGCCGCACTTGATAGAAGTTGCGCGGATAAGCTGCTTCCAGCATGCTTTGCTGATATCCAGCGGAGTATGTTAGAAACAGCTTATCCACACGGCTTCTATCAAGTGCGGCAACGGCCACGTCAAATCCATAGCCACGCCTAATCTGACTTCGAGATATAGACTGTGCTTTCTTGTCGATGGATGCCTCCCTAGGGTATCCAAGGCCCTACATCGAAACTGAGTGAGGTAGATTCGAAAGGAACTAATGAATATTGTCCCTAGCGATGAATTATTTCCAGTCAGGCTTCAAACTCATCTGTCTTCCGATAGATTCGAACTTTTTTTCGAGTTTCCAAGTTTTCATTTTGCCCTCAACCTGCGAATGTAGTTGTGAATTGGATTGCAAATCATCGTAAGACATTGTATTCAAGTTTAGCAAATGGGCACCAATAGCTCGAGACTCCAAGGCTTCGTTTCGAAAAATTGAAAGAACTCAAAAAGTTTGAAGTAATGAAGGTGGTATTATTTACAGCACGTTCATCGAACACTCGAGAGAGAGCGCTAGCTTGCGTGGTTCTTTGTGATCTATCTTATTACTTGTGGTCTCAGCGCTTCCACGGATTTCAATTGTGATAGGGGTATCGCTTTATTTCTATGTCTACCAGTGGCCTTGATTTGCTGGTTCTTATCGAGGTGCTCTGTGTCTTTCTCTTATATTGCATGTTTATGTCATAAGTATTAAACATTTCTTTTAGCTCTTCTAGGTTCTATTGAATTTCGGAGCAGCATTTGTGTTCGTTATCTATTTTTTCCCCTTTGTCGAGTTGCTGTCTCACCATGTGTGGGCTACTCTTTTTTGCATTCCTTCGATCGTTGATCAACCATTTCCAAGCATTTCGTGACACTCTCCTTTGTACAGTACCTCACTCATCCATCTAGTCGATTCCAGTCAGCGATTCCTTTGTCATGTCAAGTTGTCATTTTCGTTTGAGTATTCATTTATCAATGGCTATATTCATGGTTGTCAGTTCATTGTGTTCCGTTTCGCAGAGTCATAGTCATGTTTACTGAGGTAATTCTCTTAAGTTAATTATTGTCATTAAGATTTGATTGAAAATTCCACCCGTGCATTGTAGAAAAATCGTGCGAGTCATAAAAATACATTTATGATACATAAGCAACACAGTAACATCAAAATGAATAAAGATGTTGTGAAAGTAATCTGTAAATGATTCTCCCTGTAACAATGTGATTTGTGAGCAGACTAGTAAAGATATGATTGAGATTCAGTAATGAGTTCCGTACATACTCGTTAATGTGATTTTAGGAGCAGCTGAGATCAATGGAAACCAAATCGGCCGCAGGAGTCCTACCGAGGCGACGCGCCTACTGCAAATCAGTGCAGCGAACTTGATCACTAAAGTTCTAGGGGTCAAATTTAGACCTAGCTGGGCTTCCGCCGACGAAGGATGTTTCATCTGGGCTTTTTTCGTGGGAGTCCTCTGGTATCCTTCAGGAGGCCTTCGCGGAAAGGGCTCTGGCACGAGAGGAAGCAATGGGCAGTTCCCGGCACGTAAACTTTAGTTATTCATTAATTTCTAATTTAATTAATATCAGTTGGTCTAATCGATTAAATAGGCAGGGTAGACGATAGGGAGGGCAGAGTAGGCAGTTAATGAGTAATCCTAAATAAAAAATAAAATAATAAGTTAGGTAATCCCCCTGCGTCCTTATCCCTTTGCCGCGCGATGGCGGATACCCGGTGCCCCCATATTTTCAGCAGGTGGATGGATACCGTCTGCTGGATGTCCTCAGCGGCTTGAAATAAA